GGACCTCCGGACTGCGGCCGAGCCTGCGCCACAGGAGGCAGAAGGCTGAGACGAGGCTCTCCCTACGAACAACGAGGCAACACTGCCCCGCTGGGACCGAACCCAGAACTGTAAGGAGGATTTTGCTGATTTTCTGATAGGTTTTACACTTTGGGTCTATGGGGAAGGATAATGGACCTCACTGAGCCTTTTGTTTTTCGAGAGATTTGAATCACGCTCTGCCAAAGGTGCACACTGGGAGGAAGATCTTTCTGGCTGCCTGAACACATCCCTCTCTCTTCCATCTTCTGGCAGGAAGGCCACAGCGATGCTTAGGGAGGCTTCATCCCTGTCTTTAGTGATGGCTGTGAAAAATGCAAGATCCCAAAGCTGTCATCACACTATTGCACCAGACTGCAAGGCCTCATGCACCCAGAGACTGAGCAGTGGCCAGGAGAGCATCACTCAGAGCCACGTTCTGCCTCCTTTACTCACCTGGTGGCTCTCCAGGTCACTATATTGCTTCTGCTGCAGTAAATCACAGAGAGGGGTGACACTCAGCTCTGGGAGATGCAGTCCTTGCAAAGGGTGAATTTACTGCAGTCCTTGGGGCGACCTATTCTACTCGACGCAGCCGCAAGCAGAGGAGCCCCCAGCTGAACCTCGCTGAATGGAGACCTGCGTCTGTCTCCCCTGCAGAGCCCTTGCTGTCTGCAAGCCCATCCAGATATGCCCATGAGTGATGTTGAGAACAAGCAAACACGGAAACACTTGAGTGTTGAGCTGAAATGCACCGTTCTGAAAGGAGCTTCCCTCAGAGCCGCGCTTCCCAGGTGGAGGGAAGCGAGCGCCCGGAGCAGAGCTTGAGACCATCCCCACTTTAAAGCCCTTTCCCTGGAATCTCTTACCGTGGGTGACACAACACATGCACTGACAGTCCCCAGGCAACGCCCCCAACACCCAGCTAGTCGCAGGAGCCCACCGAGCCCTTTCTAATCCTGTTTATGCCCTGCCAGGAGTTGTCACCTGACACCTCTGTCAGGAGTTGTCACCTGACACCTGGATCGTGGATTGTCACCTGGACATGGATTCAAACAAATTGAATTTTAAAGAATGCTGAGAGGTGAAAGGAGCTCCCAGACACGTTCTGATAATGGTCTCAACAGAGCAATAGTGCGGAGCTTCACACGCCAGGCCGGCACCGCACACACACGCGCAGGCACAAGCACACGCCAGACCTGAGGAGGAAGGTGCCTTTTCAGGTAGCTCCGAAGCAAAGCGTCTTCGGTGTACGGGTTCCCCGTCCTGGGCTGCTCGTGCAGGAGCGGGTCGGCCTCCCTCCTCGCGCGGGGCATTTCCAGGCCTCCCGACACTTGCAGCATGCCGGCCATGTTGAGTCCTTCACAGCTCCGGGCTCGGCTCCTCTTCCGGATGGAGGTGGAAAGGCACCCAAGGGCCCCCCTTACCAAGCAACGGGAAAACGTGGGCCTGGGAGAGCTCCCAGGGGCTGCGCTAGCTGCTCCCCTCTCCGGGCCTGCCCTGGCTGGACGTTAGCACGGATCCCCTTTGGGTTTTACCCTTGTTACTCTTGACAGTCGCTTCTGCCTTTTCTCCTCCCTCGGGGAGGAGTTTGGAAACAGCTCCTGGCCCCAGACTAGGGAAAAGGTCCTTGGGAAGAGAGCCGAAAGGGGCCCAGAAGGGAGCAGGTGGCCGGAGGCCGCTGCATCCTCCCGCCGGCCGCTGGAGTCACGACAGGCGGGAGTCCCTGGGCCCGCGGGGGGATTAGTTGCTGATCAGGGGGCTGCAGCCCGGGGCTGCCGTGCCAGACCCGGAGCCCCCACGGCCTTCAGCGTGCTCGGCACGACGCTAAAGGGCTCCTTCCTGTGGGGGGGAAGGTGCTGCCCCCGGCCCAGCCCGGCCCGCGTAAATAAAAACTGTTGTGGCCGGGGCGGCGAGAGCCTCCATGAGGGCCGCGGGGCCGCCGCGCTCCGAAGCCCCTCACAAAGCGGCCCGGTTGGTAACATTTTCCTGGTAAAATGAACCCTGCTTAGATGCAGTATGTTGCAGAAAAACATGTTTTAGTAGCTTCGTGGCTCACTTAAATTGGCTCATAACCTCATTTGGGAATAACGCCTTAGTTTTACGTGCGTCCTGAGAGCCTCCATGAGGGCCGCGGGGCCGCCGCGCTCCGAAGCCCCTCACAAAGCGGCCCGGTTGGTAACATTTTCCTGGTAAAATGAACCCTGCTTAGATGCAGTATGTTGCAGAAAAACATGTTTTAGTAGCTTCGTGGCTCACTTAAATTGGCTCATAACCTCATTTGGGAATAACGCCTTAGTTTTACGTGCGTCCTGGTCCCCTTCAGAGCGTGCTTAGCCAATTGTCAGCCTTAAAAGAAAAAAAAAAAGCTCCAAAAATATATCGCATATAAATATTAAAAAATCTAGCGCTGCACATTTCTGTAAATATGTTTTTGTAGCTATAATGTGCCCTCATTACTAAATGAAGTACTAAATTTAGTGTAAAAGCTGTCAGCATGTTCCAGTCAATGTTTAATGACTGCCAAAAAAGAAGAAAAGCAAAAGGTGTGCAGATACAAAGCAAGATTAAATTGAGTGCTCTGATAAGCATCCCCTGTCCAGCACAGGAGATCCTTACTTAAATCAATCTGCCGCGTTGGTTTTCTACTTTTAATGGGCGATAGAAATATTGACTCGCCTTGGCCAAGGAAGTGCTCCTCCGGGGCGCACGTGCGATGTTTCTATTCATTAACGCCTTCATTAACGCCTCCCCCATTAGCAGCTACTACGCGTCGAGATCTGTCGTGGAGCCATTTTTCAAGGCGGTTAATGCTGCCTTGCTAATTCCGCCTAATGGAAGTTTTTAATCAAGATGTCAGGCTACATCAAGCACCTTGCTGAAGTGCAGGAGAAAAAAAAAATAGGAAATGCCGCATCATTGCCTTTATCAATCAGATTTCTAATCTTGGGAAACAATTTCCTCTTTAATCCAGGTTTGTTTAACAAGGTCTGCTTTCATTAAAGCTGTATGGGCCTCTCAATTTTTTTCTCTCAAGGTGTCTTGGTAGAGTCATTCCTTTATTCTGGCTGAGATTGATGTTGGTGTACATCCTGCTTACCCTTGCTAAAATCCTGGCTCCCGTTGGCAGACTTCCAGTTCTTTCTCGTTCCTCCTTCGCACTTCCTAGTAGTGTTAGGAGGTAGCGTTTGCGGGTGGGAATATGAAAAATGCATTCTGAAGTGGCACCGGTTGACACCAGCTTCAGACGTGGCCCTGAATTTCAAATACTATCGATCGTTAACCTGTGAATAGATTTTTATCACCCCACCGGCTTGCAGACAGTACCACAGTGTATCTCTGCTTTACTTTGAGTTAGCTTTTCTTGCCTGACAACTGCCTTTTAGACCTGAATAGGACCCAAGAGTCTGGTTCTTACTTTAAGGAAGACAAGGAATTTTGATGACATTATGTTTTCCAGTGTGTCCCCTCCATTTTTTTTTTCTACAGGCTTTAGTTGCAAGTGGAAAGCAGGACTTGGAGACATGATGGCCACTCACCAGCTGTTACAGACTAGGCAAAAGAATAAATGCTCTAAGGTAAAAAACCTGAAGTGCGATGGTGCAACCACTGCAGTGCTCAGTTCTGGGGCTGGACATGTCTGGGCCCTGTGGGCTGAGAACCCTTTCTATCGACTGCGCTATCCTTAGTTGGATGAAAAAGCAGGTATTTCCAATTTAATGAATCCAGGAAGATACAGCATGCAACATGCAGCCTTGACATGCCTTTCAATAAATAAATGAGGGCTCATTAGGTGTGCTCAGAGCCCTATTAGCAGGAACACACACACAAAAAAAGAAGAACTATTAAAGGACTAAATTTAGTATGCTTTGCACTGACATTTTTCCTCTTAAACTCACAGTGTTTAGTGCTTAGAGCCACGAGAGTCTTCAGCATGGTTAGCTGTTTCAGTCTGCAGCATTTACTGCTCCAAACAGGGTACAGTTCTCTGGTAGAATCACTGTGGGAGCCAAGTCCTTGCATGGTGGCAGCAGGCTGACTCTGCTGTCAGATGTCAAAGCTGCTGAGGTCTGACACTTCTGTCTAGCACAGGACTTTCTCTTCTTACCGCTGATTCTCAGAAGCGTTTTTTTGTCTGTGCCAGTGAAACTGTGTCAGTTCTTTCATGCAAACACTGCCCCAGTTGTGGTCGTTGATTGACTCCAGTTAACTTTGTAGAGCTGAACTGACAAATTATATATATATATTTTCTGTACGGGTGGTTTTCTGACAAGTAGCTTTATTAGTGCAGTGGAGGGGGTGGGAATGTGCCACTGTGACCAGTAGGCAAGGGAGGATCAAAGCAGTCTGGATCTGAGTAAATGTTGTGAGATCCTTTGATAACTAACCTTAAAATATTTAATCCCATCCATGTTAGACATGACTCCTCTCTATATATATTACATGAAGACCAGAGAAATGTTAAAATGACTGAAATTACCTTTTCTTTCTACCTGCTAAGAGTCATTTCTGTACTGAGCTAAAAAAAGTACTATTTCTGACTTTGCCCTTTTTTTTTCCAGGAATCAGTGTTGTTCCCCAACAAAATTACTACTGAGCAGCAGTCTGTGGTGCTGGTGAAAAAACTTCTGGCTATCTCAGTATCCTGTATAACATACCTGAGAGGGTTGTTCCCAGAGAGTTCATATGGAACTCGTTATTTAGATGGTAACAGTCTCAATTCTTGCTGAATTCTGGTTCCCACTTTGTTTGTTTGTTTGTTTGTTTTGTTTTTTGGGTGTTCGTTTTTGTTGTTTTTAGCAATAACCTGCTCTACAGATGAGTTGCCAGATGCTCACATGTTCAGTTGCTTGTAGGAAAATTGCTAATGGGTCTTCTTCAACCCCTGAAGCAAAAAGTGCTTCTGCATCAGAGAGCAAGCACAGGAGACAACCCGGAGCTTTTGGCAGCTCCTTTTTTTTTTCTTAGTGTTTCTAGTGGTTTATAATCATTTCTCATAGGTTGTTGCCAACCCTGTGCACCCCCAAGTTAGTAGACTGAGTTGAAAATCAATAGTTTAAGAAAACGTTTGCGCTTAGTACATTTTATTTTCCTTTGAATTTTTGAATCATTGTTTTTTACGTTTAGTTTTTTTCTGAGAGATCAAGAGCAGATTTTCAGATCTTTTTTTTTTTCCTTGAGAACCGAGTATCTCACATAACCACACATACTCGAGAGACTCTCTTTTAGAAGAAAAAAAGTTAGATTAAGATTGTGTTGTCATAGGATCACAAGAATTAATGAGACTTTCCACATTTTTATGTTCACCTGAGGTGCATTCGTGGGGTGTGAGGTGTCTTCACACCTTCCAACCCATTTCCATGGTTTTACTGAGACAGTTATCCTGGGACCTGGTCACATGTACGTCATGGGCTTCGCCTCTAGTGGCTTTTGATCACCTCAACTAAAAGGCCATTAGTCTTTCTAATAAAATTTCAGGTCTTTCAAGTGCCTTCTTTGAGCAAGGATGTTAATATCTGTCCTGTTCAGGCCTTAGAGGGTTTGTTGGTTGGATCTTAAGGTGTCATTAAATCATCTCTTTATTTGGTAGCTGTGTCAATAGCAGGAGGGCGTTTCCACTTGTGATTCCAAATATCTGAAAACAGAAGGAATCCGATGGAAAAAGTAACAAAAATTGTTTCTTCTAAGTACAGTCTTCACCTCATATGGTTGTTGATGAAGACTGAATGCAAAAGTGAGAGGTGTTGTTAGCAAATGACAGAATGGATGGGAATCGAGAATGGGGGAGGGAGAAAAGTACGGAAATTGCTGCATTTTGAAATGAAACCATAAACTTTAGCACTTTCACTGGAAGAGCCTAGAGCATCTGAGGAAAGTCTTTGACATTTGAAAATGCAGCAATAAGCCTGTGTCAGCCCACCTGGGACTCGGTGGAAAACCACCATTTCCGCTCAGGAAGAGCTTCCAGATAAAGCATTTTATCCAAAAAAGGGAGGATGACTGGCTTAGTTTCAGTGTTTGCCCAATAGCTGTGATAAGGATTTTAAGTATGTGCTAAATTTGGTTTTGCAGACCTCTGTCTAAAAATTCTCCGAGAAGATAAAAGCTGTCTGGGATCATTGCAGATAGTCAAGTGGTAAGTGAGTAACAGCGAAACTAAGACAAGATTGTGCTGAATAGCAAGACATCTACCCTTTACATTCTTCTTCTTCCTTAATTTGAAAACATTGTGCCCAGTAGTGCAGTTGGTTATGCCAGTGCAGCTCCCACTGCTGCAGTGTGTGTGCTTGGCCCTGTACTAAGCAAGACATAATTAGCTGAAAAAAAATTATGTGAGTTCGAGGTCTGTTTAGTGTTGACTTCAGTGAGGTCACATGCAGGCACTGTAAGTAGGGAGAGATTAAATACAATTTTGAGAATGTTTCTGGTTTTGTTTAGTATTTTGTAGTTTGATTTTTTTTTCTTTTTATGTTTCTTGTAACGTTTCCTATTATGTACAGCATTTTATCTCCTTGGAAATTGTGTATCTAAGGACATTACAACTTCCTTGTGTGATAATTAAAATGTATTTCAGGGAGTTAGCATGTTCCCAAAAGAAGCATAGACAGGGGATTTCTAAGGTTTGGGGAAAAAAAATCAGTTTAAGCACTTATCTTTTTTTGTTACTGTTTGATATTGCTGTGCCCAGGAAGCACCCAGTGCAGATTCATTGATTCCAAGAGTAAATATCTAACTGTTTCTACGTCATGCAATATTTATTACCTTAAGAAGACCCCATCTATAAAAAAAAAAAAATGCTTTGGATAAATATTTGCAAGGCCAGGCACATGATTGAAGCTTCAGTCCAGCTCTGTACATAGTCAATGAGGAGAGGTCTGAGAGTGGTCTGGAGAGCTAAATAGAGCACTGAGCAGAGAGGCACTTCGGGCCTTGTGGCAATCCTGGGAATCCTTGTCGTTGCTGGGATTTGGCCCTAGGTGTATAAACAATACACAGATACAGAAGGGAAGGTAGTGACTTCTTGAGGATCGACCTGGAAAGGCCCAGGATGTTTCTAGCTTTGTCTATCTAGTATGTTTGTGTTTACCAATCAGGAGATAAATATTGCTGGTTAATATTGACACTCTTTTTTCCTGGCAGGATTCAAGGTTGTTTTGATGCTTTGGAGAAGAAGTATGTAAGTTTGTTCCTGATTTCTTATAAAATACAGACAAAATGTATTTCCATTGCTGGTTTGTACTTTGCAACAATCTTGCATGCCCACAAAACATATTTACAACTGTGGGGTAGGGAAAAGAGCTTGCCATGGGTTCCTGCCTATGAGATTTGGGTTCATATTCCCTGAGCCCGGATTTTGGCTGCTGTTGATCTCTAGACTTGTCTACACAGTGGGTGAACTGCTTTGAGGCCTGGATGAGATTCCCCTTAGTTCTGTACTCTGCATTCACATTCTTTAATGTCTGGATAGAGGCACTGCCAGTCAGAGCACATATCTTGAGCACCATGCCATTTTCCTTCAGACAGGTTCCTTCATGCTTATGATTTCCCTCATCTCCTTTCACTTAGTCATTGCCCTTCTTTTCATTTTCTTATCCTCTTTAACCCGCTTAGCTTTCCTATCTGAGTTCACATTTTATTCTTTCCCTTCATTTCATCAAATGATGTATGTAGCTCATTTTAGGACAGCATCAGTTAGCAAGTCATCATATTCCCTGCCGATTCTCACACAGAAAAAGTACTGGTTGTTGTCATCTCTGTCAGCACTGTTCATCAAACTCTCATCTAGATCAGATGAAGTGCTGGAAGGTTTCAGCCCCGCTCATCAGATGGGCTCTTATACATCAGTACAGCTGTCGCTCTAGATGAGATAATTTGAAATGTTGTGAACTCGGGTTATCATTTGCTGACAGCTCTAGAAGGGATTTGGTCTGCACTATTTCTGAGAGACGTCAATCAGTGGTTACCTGACTAGGCTTCAGGGAAAAAAAAATAGTTATTTAATGGAGGTTATTCGTGATTGTTTCCAAGAGTAGCCCCAAGTATAGTTTCTTGCTGCCGTGTAAATTAAACGGTTTTGCTGAGCTGCATCCCTGAGAGCCCAAGGTGAGCACCCAGCGGCAATCGAGAGGGAACGGGGAGGATGCGGGGAAGTGAGATTCATCATGGTGACATTTGTGGTTCCAGAATGGCTCTTATATTAGTTTTCAGTAAGTCTATGTGCGATTGTAAAATAGTTTTAAATTGACATTTGGAGATTGTCAGAAATAGTCTCAAGAGGTAGATCTTTTATATTTTCTTACAAAAAAAAAAGCCAAGCAAACTGGCCACTAGGTGTTGCTGATGCAGTGTTATAAAGGATTCGTATAAAGAAGAGTTTCAACTCGCCGTTTGTTGCATGTATCTATTCCTTCACTCTATGTAGACAGATTTTGATATGTCTCTTTTTTCCCCCCTTGATGCTAAGGTTAATATTGACTTTGTGTTTTGTTTCTTCTTTCTCCTTAGTTACATATTGCTGTCCTAGCAGTAAGTAAATGAATACAACGCTCAAAGAGATAATAGAGCCAAGGTTGTGTCAACCCATTTATGTCTTTTGTAAAGGGAAGTAAAAGTGTATTTGTCTTTTTTTAATGAAACAGTGACCTTTCTTAAATATGGTAAATATGAACTTTCTGGTCTGTGTGAGAACATTTTCTGTAAGTTAGACTTCTGACTCTGAGGTTTTGTATGCATTGTAACCTCCTAGAAGCACTTTCACTTGCTTCATGTCATTGCTTCCTGCAGAATCTTGCCTCCATCCTTGAAAGAAGGAAGCTATGTGTCCTGTCCACTTTCCTCTCCATAAAAGTCCTCTCTATTAATCTGCTTGCTGGCATTATTGAGGAAGTTCTATCTCAAACTCTTCAGCCCTCAGGTTTAGGGCAAGTTGTTCTGGGGGTTGTGATACTGAAGGAGTCACACATCAGCAGATGCACTGACAGTCCTTTGCCCTGCTGCATGGTAAAACACCGATAGGTATTCTGTATATGTGAGCCATAATCTGGGTAGTTAAATCTCAGGCATGAAGAGTTGCCTGTGAGGATCAGGATGGGAATTTGCCTCATTCCTTCACAATTGCACAGGTGAGTGTCTCCTACCTTTCTTTGAAGTGGAAAGTATTGACTACTGATAGAGGTAGGGTATTTCTCAGCCATTCCTTTTTCCGATCGCATGTAACAGATAATACAGTGGATGTCGTAAGATGAAAATAGCATTGTTTAATCACTGCTCCATGTTAACCAAGGGGAGAATGTGCTCACTGTACTTTCTTGTAACAGATTTACACCAATCGCAAGGAACCGGAGGTAAGAACAAGTTTTAATTAATCTTTGAGGCAGCAGAAGGCATGGGTGAGTAGATTTGTATTCAGGATAGACTTGTGGGCTTACATTCTACCCTGCCGTAGCTGCTTGGTGACCCTGTTTCTCTTCTTCTGCTCTCACTCATGAATGGCAACCAGTGAGCTGGATTGTGATCAAACACTCCCACTGAGCGCCAGGCTGTGGACCCATCTTGGGCCTCAGAGAGCAATGTTAACAGGCAGCTAATGGGCATGTTCAAGATGTTGTTTCTTTTCTGCAGAGAAGAATTGGGAAGTTCAAAACCATTTTTTTCTGAACCACCTTTTTAACAGTCCTGTTAAAAGGAGCTCATTTTTGGTGCAGGGAAGTTTAGGAGAGAATTTATGAAGCATTTCCGAACTGGGATGTGTATGTCCCATGGTGCATGTGCTTAGCTGTTCAATGTCCCTCTCTGCTGTGCTCCTCTCTCTTTTGTTTTGTCTACATGTAGCCTGTGGAAGACAGACTAGATAGGGTAATATATAAACAGAGGTTCTGCATCCATTCTGTCTTCGTATAGCAGATAGTGAAGAGCTGCAGAATCTTTGCTTACTGAATTACAATTCTGCTGCTTCCTACTTCAGCATCTTGGGAAAGAGGAAGGAATTTATCTCCTAAACATGGCTACCAAGGCTGGCATTTGCAAAGTCGACTTGGAGAATTAAGAGCTCAGCTTCTAACAACCAACCTCATTGTCAATGATAAAAGCGAATTATAGGCATGGAATTGGACTGTGATCTGTCCTTGTCTTATGTTGAATTAGTCTTCCTAATCATTTTCTAAACTTTTAGCAAATCATTTCCCTTTACATGGAAAATCATTTACAGTTTTCTTTCTCTCTCCAAGAAAACTCTGAGATTTCTGTGAAATTCAGATGCTTATAATCTTTTGACTATGAAATTTTGTATTTGCTAGTAAGAATAGCCCTTCAGGTCCTTGTCTCTGTACAGGACACCAGGCCGGGCAGCCCTGTAATGCTGCACCACCCATGAGGCCTCATGTTTTCCCCTTTAGTAAGGGAGGACACGTACATCGTGATCATTAGCTGGCCCCAGTGCCTCATTAGACATTTAGGTAAGAGAGTGAAGCCCACAGAGGCAGTGGAAGGAGGAAGCAGGAAGTTTTCGTGATTCTTTCAGTGCTTAGTAAGTTGTATTTGTTAAGAAAACTTGCCAAAAGCTGTGCAATAATTGAGTTAAATCTTTAGTTATGTCATTAAGTTAATGCTATGATCTGATAAAGCTAAGACATAATAGACACTTCAATACATCTTTTACGCTTGTTAGTGAGAGGGATCTGTTTGTTTTTTTTCCTGTTCTTGTGAAATCTTCAGACAGTGACTGAACTGTATCAGTTCAAGTTCAAATACAAAAAGGACGGGCCCCAGATGGACATCATCAGGTAATGGTCTGGATTTATTTTTCAGATGTACACTGTGAAAACTACATTTTATTGAAACTTGAAGAAGAAACTGCCCTTTATGATTGTAGCACGTAGCTGTCTGAGTCACTAAGCAGTTTTAAATATCATCAGAGTTGAGGACATTCACTCCACCGGATGTGAACTCCTGAGCTGATGAATAGAAATGCCGTTACACAGCACACTAAGAAATTTACAGTAGATCAGAACAGAATTAAGGGCAATTCGTAGAAGTTATGTCTAATCAGTGTAGCGATGCAGAAACTGGCACAGTTGAGTTTGCTGCTGTCTCAACTAATAAGGTTTTTTGAGTTTGTCAAGAGAGCCTCGTGCTTTCAAAAGCAGCTTTTCCATGTTTGATCACTTTTGCCAAAATCCCACACCCATGAATTTTTTCCTTGAGTGTACTCATATTCTGCTGTATAGTCTTGTGTGTAGGAACTGGGAGATGTTCTGAATTAAAACTGCAAAATGCATGGTCAGAAGCTGCAGCTTTTTGCATCTTTTTTATATTTTTTATATAGTTCAAAGCTCTGTTTAGTAAATCTCTATTCTGTGTAGTGTAAAATAAATACTATCAATAGCCATTGAGTATAACCAAAGGAAAGCAAAATAAGTAGCTAATTTTCAGTTTGTTTCTGCACTTGTCGTTGGTGAAAGATGGATCTTTGGACCTTGGAACCTGTCAATGCTTCAAGAGAGCTCTGCTGCCTTTAATGCTCATCAGGAAACAGCTCTGTAAGGCTCCTCCGTAGTGTGCCATTTGCTGCTCTTTCTCTGAACACATCCGAATAGTTCATTGTACCCTTCTAAATTATTTTCTTTTTGGAAAACACTTGTTAATTGCATCTGAGTCTGGGCTGTCCTGTTGACCATGCTATCTACTACACCTTTGAAACCATATATGACTTAGTATGTATTATATAATCATATAATATATGATTTGTTTTGTTGTTTTTTGCTCCACCTTATTAAGATCAGGCGCTTGCTCCTGGTAATAACCACAGTCTCCCAGAGGAACTCAGCATGCCTTGATGTCCCCAGTGCTGACCAGGACCGGGCTGTGCTTCTCCTCGAGGTCCCTGTTCGGTGTCCTCAGTGGCTGACGCTGCGAGGGCAGGATCCTGTGGGACCTGCAGGCGTTAGTGGACTGACTGTCTGTCATTGGTACTGCTGACTGGATCATAGTGTCATCGTCAGTGTTATCACCTTCTTTTGATAAAAACCCCTTTTATATACCTGCAAGGTTTATTGGCACATGAAAACTTGGAATTAGTCCACTTTTGTGTTTGTTTGTTTACATCCTCACATCTGCATGGTAGAGGGAAATTTTCTCCCAGAAGATTTCTGTTTTATAGGTTGAATCTTTCTTTTTTCAAGTTCTTCACCATGAATCCCAGGCCCTCAAAGAGGTGCAGTTCTCCAGCTACTAACTTTTGGCATCATTTCTGCTTCACATCCAGAATGTTTTTCCCATATGTGTACAGTACCTCACCTCTTAATTCCTAGGAGATATCATCTCTTTTTTTTTTGGCATATATTCTTTGCCCTATCATCCCCATCCCACTGTACCCAAGACTTGCGAAGATGATGTATCAGAAAGGAAAAGTAATTTCTTCTAATTACTCCAATCTAGTTGTTAAGCAGCATCGGTTCTCTCACTTGATGTACTAGCAATTCTCCTCCATTTCTGAACATACAGGATTTCATTACTAGTACAGTGGGTTCAGCAAAGAGTTTTACTCTTGACGGTATGGAGTCTACCGAACTATAACCTATTACTCTGTGAACACAGGCTGTTGAATATGATGAGCTAGGAGAGCAATTCCATATTGATGGAGCTGTTCCTTACAGTGACTTAGTCACATTCAGCCTTGGGATTCTGTGTCTGCCATCTTACGCTGCTTAGTGGAATAACCATGTGGGATGATTGTGTTAGAGGCCATCCGGCCTGTCTGTTGTGTCACCTACCTGCCAATGGCTTTTCAGTGACTTTTTTTGTGATGCAGAAGCTACGTTTTTAAGACCTCTTCTCATTGAAAGTCAATGAATGTAGGCTCTTTAGTCACTGGGTGATTCATCTAGTCCAGCTTCAACTGCTGAGAGTTAGCTGCATGGTCCAAGCTGCTCATGTCATTTCCCACTGTAGTCAAGAGAAACAAACTCCTCCAGAGGACGATTCATCCCACCTCTACTGTACAGTTATCTCCGTCTAGACTGCTTGCTTAGACTAGCCAGCTGGCATTTGGATGGGCGAAGGAGGTGAGAGGAATGCCCCTTAGTCACTTTTGAAAAATGTGCCTCTGAACTAGTTTTTCTTATATGGAATTGGAGTGAGAACATGCGATTCACTTCCCTTAAAACTGCAAAGTGGACTTGAAAACAGCCACTGTGATGAATTGGCTTTATATGGGCTTCTCACCCCATTCCTCTCATTCCTCAAATTGCTTAGGTGAAAAGCACTTGTTTTATGGTCCTTTTGATCCAATTTAATCATGTTTAAACAAGTGACTCATGGTGCTTGTATAATGGGGTACATTGCCCCAGCTACAAAATCTGTTCAAATGTAAATGCCATACCTCTGAGTTTAGAGCTGTTGTTCTACTGATGCCACCACATCCCTGGAATCTGTTTCACTTCCCTGTTTATTTAGAAGTTGCATGAAAGCATTGTACCTTTGTTGCTGTTGGTTTCAGACAATTCCGTGGGTGCTCTGTATTTGTAATTAGGTCTTGAATATTCATGACTGGGGAAAACAACTCTTGATATAGTCTTTTTTTTTTTAAACAATATTGTTATTCTTTTTCAGCAACAAAATGAACTTTGTGAATGGGGTGTGCAGTGAGGAGGTTAAAAAAGCCAGCAGCCTCCTGATCCGTAAGCTGTACCTGTTAATGCAAAACCTCAGGCCACTTCCCAATGACATTAACCTGACCATGAAACTCCTCTATTACAATGACGGTAGGTGGAGAACAGAATATGCTGTGGTGAAACCTTCCATCAACTCCTTCCATCAAACCCAAGCCCCTGTAAAAAATAAGTGCAACACAGAAAGGTGAAATGGTAGAATGTATTATGATGCAGTGAGAAATGGTGTGAAATATAGTAATGCCCTCTGACAAACTGGGGTTGCAGATGCCTTTTAAGAAAGGTTTCTGTGTAAGGACAGGTGTGCAGTGTGAAAAGGAGCTACCCTCTTTTGTTGTAGTTTGAGAAACGGACATACTGTGTTAGATGGGTTTTACTTCAGAGGGGTGAGAATATTAATGCTGTATTAATGTCCTGAAGTTGTTAATTCCTTGAGGCTCTCAGCCACATGTGCTTAGTTCTTTTTTTTTTCTTTTTTTTTTTTTATTCTGAATGAGGATCATTATGAGATTTGTCTTCTTGCCTAGCAGTCTGCACACTGGAATTTCCAGCCTTTCCTTAAGGCTGGAGCCTTTGGCCTTGACTTCCTCTGGAATCCTTGAGCTTCTGAACACTAGACAGGCATCTTTCTATGAGATCACTAAACTGCAGCACGTTTCCAGATAGCAGCCACACAAAGCTATGGAGCATTCTCCATCTGTTTTAGTAAAAATTTTCATGGCATTCTTCCTCTTCCCCCCAAAACCAGGATATTTTTAGTTAGGTGTAAACTTGTCCTTTATGTGTTTTAAGAGACATGGAGCCTGTTTTCTCTGACAGCAGTGGGTTCTTCCTCCCTGTGTAGTAACTCCTGAGGATTACCAGCCACCTGGCTTTAAGGAAGATGGCAGCCCTGGTAATCTGCTCTTCGACGGTGATCCTGTCAACCTGAAAGTGGGATCAGTCTCCACTGGATTCCACCTCATGAAAGTGAGAGTAACAACTGAAAAGAAGAGGATAGGGGCAGTTGAAAGCAGGCTGATGCAGAAGAATGGCCCTACTGAGATCTCCCACCAAGGGTTAGACTGTGATGAAGAGGAAGAGGAGGGAAGCCCCAAGGTATAGAGATAGCTCCGTTCAGTTCTTAATGGAGCAATAGAGTTTATCTATCAAAGTTATCCTAAAACTAAGCATTTTCTAACAATCTAAGATTGTCTAATAATGGTTTAAGCTCATAGTAGGGTAGCCTATTGAATGCTGAGGCTGGTGTTCCATAGGAATCAAATGAATTTTACCCCAGCATTTCCACTGACTTATGGAGCCAAGTCTATTTTCCCCAGAAGGGGGCAGCGATTGTACAGAGAGAGGCACAACGTATATATGTACTTATCCATGGACATGCACAAAATGGAGACAATGGCATGGGCTACAGCATTTCTCTTTGGCGTTTTGTGGCCTTCCACTGTGTATTTAGGTGGGATTCCTTCCACTTACCCTTAGCTTACCCTTAGCTACTTACACTTAGCTATCTAAACTTCATGGCTAAACTTACTCTTAGCTATCTAAACTTCACTGAAACAAAATCTAGCTATCTAAACCTCACTTACCCTTAGCTACCTAAACTTCAGGCATAAACAATTTTCTGGCCACCCCTGTGCTTCTTGGAGGAGGCAGCTCTAGCAGGCAGTTAAGATCATTTCTTTAGGTGTCAAGGTAGGCTTGAAATTGTCCCCTGGTAGTGTCTGACTTCAAAATGATAGAGAGGGAGCTTGAACCAGTAGCTCAGACCTGAAAATTTTGTTTTAGGTGGTCAGTGCCAGGGAACAAACCCCAGTATAACTGACTCCTCAAGGAAGGAAGCCACTTAGGACAGAATTTTCTGAATTTTCCTAGTAAATTTGTCTTTTGAAAGACTTCTGACAGCTTAGGTATAGAACGACCTGGGAGCTGAGAGGTCTTGAAAGTCTCATCCCTGTTAGTGCTGAATTCATGTATTTACCACTTAGACATGTTTTTTTAGGTTAGGCTATTAAGATGAAGCCTCATTTACTTTACAGAACAACCCCCTCCCTGCCAGAGCAGGTTCAAGTGAGCATGGAGAGGAGAAAAATGACATGCATCCAGGCTGGAAATCTGAAGCATCTTCTTTTTGTCTTCAGGATAAGGGTAAAGGCTCAGTTTTGAAAGTGAACGAGTTTGTGCTTCTAACATCCTGGCATAATATTTTGAAATGGTTAAGCAGAATTTGTCAGGCTGTTTTAATTTCATATCAGAACAGATTGAACTATGATAAAGGGCTCCTTGTATATATTTGTTTTGTTAACAGATGTACCCATTCTTTTTTTATGAATAACTTTCCACCTCTATCTTAGCCTTTTTGTTTTCTAATATGAAGGGAATGTATAGTTCATCAATATTGAGTTACATCATTTATGTTTTTGCCAAAGCTCTTTTCCTTCAGTGATACAATTAGATTTTGCTAATGCCATTTATATATTAAAATGAACATAAACATGCATGAAGAAAGCACTCTCTCTGTCACCTCAATAAATCTGGCTTCTCATATGCCATGTTACATTTGACCTTTGAGGCTCAAATATAGCTTGTGGAACAATACCATCTAGTGACAAAATGCTAAATAGCATTCCTGGGATCTCCAAGCAGTGGAATAAAAAATTTGGGTCCACCTATAGAGTCAACTGTTTAGGTCTTTCTCCTGCAGATTGCCTGATCTCTAATAAGGAGTGAGCTCATACTGCCATATTTTACGTTACAGGTATAGATGCCACTATGGGCTCTCTCTCCTCAAGATTCTTGTCAGCCTTCATGAAACTCATAGGCACTTGGGGATCCCTATCAAATTTTGTTAAAACTGCCTAATTAGGTCCATAGTTATCAGTCAGGGGATAGCTCCCTTCTTCCCTCATGTGTGTACATACAGACACATACACTTACACAGAGTGTATACATAAGCCATATTTCCTTAGGAAGTGAGGCTAAAAATTGAATTAAAGTATCAACTTGGTGGATAGGTGTTGCTGCAAGTTCATGTGCTTTATGTTCAGATGAACATGCTGAAATTTTAAAATTACTCCTGAAATTATTTTGAAATTCCTGTGTAAAATATAAAAATATATTGCTTATGTGTCTAGATTTTGTTTCAGTGAAATACAGGATTTTGACTTTAGAGTTATTTTTGATAATGATGTTTGGATTGTAGGTGGAGAGGAGAGGACGAGAATCAAAGAGACAAGCAAAATGTGTTGCTCAAGGGCATCTCCACAGGTGAGCAGGTTGAAATGGCTCTGAGATACACCAGGTGAAGTAGAATTCATTGCTATGGAATATTATGTCATTTAGGATAGCAGGAGATTCAAATAACATTCGTAAATTTATTGGACAGCACATAAAAGATACAAAATGTCATGGCATAGAGGCATAAGCATAAACCAGAAGCATTTAGGAAGAAACTTTCCTGGGTCAAATTACTTCTTAGATGCAGTACAAGAGTTTTGTACTCTTCTCTGGAGCTGATGCTTGCAAATTAAATTCAGCATTGGCACAACTAGGTTGTTTTACCCATATGCCTCTTTGGATTAGGGTTCTGAAATCCCCACCCCACATAAGGGTTGAGGGCTCTGTTGCATCTGTTGCCTAAAACAGTTTTCACTTCTTCTCTCATGCTCCAGACTACCTTTATGGGTGAGTCACAGGTACAGTTGGATTGGGCCCCTCTTTGGCTGTCCTCTAGGATATCCTTCTCATCCCCTGGAGATGTTGATCTTGTTTCAGTGGTTACTGGGGCGACCCAGAAAGCTAGTATGGACCAGACATGTAATTTTAAATAAATAAAGTTACGTGAGATTAATTCCATCCTGAGACTGCCCAGGCCAAACCCTGAGTCAGAATCTGAGCTCAAATCCGTGGGCTTTTGCCGAGGTTTGTTCAGTGACAGAGCAAATCTCTGAATCCCACTGGAGTGACTTGCTGTTCCCATGCAAATTAGTTGAAAATCTTGTGAGCGTGGATGTTAACGTGGATGTTACAAATTACATTTTTGCCGGGTAAGTTAATGAGAGTAGGAAATTCCTCCTAAAATTTTCCCTGCTTCTGTTGAAAAGAATCCTGGGGTGTCTAACCCAGACAGCAACTGGAGACTGCAACTTAACGTGTCATTCAAAAGGCATCTCTGAAGTATTTGCCTTGACTGTGGATCTTAGAAATGAACTTCTGTGCCCAGGCTGGTATTTTTCAAACTTTAACCACATTTTTTTTGTCACATCCCCCAGTTTCCTTCTGATCATTGTTTATTCTGTCATCTGTGTGAAAACAGGAGCCTATTCTGTTTGTAACTCATGGCTGTCCCACTGAATCATATTCTGACATTCTTTTCAGTCTGTCATAATTATGATCAGAGCACCAGATACCTCCCTCCTGCAGCATGTGAATTTCATTAGAATACAGTAGCAATAGTGAGAGTTTCTGAAGGTGGTGGAAACAGTGTTAGTACTGAAAAATGGAAGAGTCACTTTATCCATTGTATGCTTCCAAAGACTTGCAAAAAAAAAAAAAAAAACAAAAAAACAGGCTTCTGCCTGGCAGAAGGTTTCTCTGTTTTTTACTGATTTTTTGTTACTATTTTTAAAACCAGCATTTAAAAGTTGGCTAATATTTTGGTCAGTTGAGGAAAAAAATGAATCAGGTCACTAGCTAAAAAGTGCAGATCATTATGGTAAAGCCATTGCTAACTAAAATTCAACATTATTTTCCATATGAGAGCGACTTTCCCTTCTTTTCTGAGGAAGTAGGTAAAACAAATGACCATTGTGTATTCCACTTGAAAAAGGAAGCCAAACTGTTGAGAGAAGTTTGTCTTAGAAATGAGGACAGGCTGGTGTGGATGGGAAGTCTAAGTTAGGTGTTACCTACCAGGGTCAAATATAGGTTGGATGGATGAAGCAGTCTCTTTGGGGTGTGAATGAGAACAGCTTATTGATGTCCAGGCTATAGGGCAGTAAAGCATTTTCTTACTGGGTAAATGTTCAGAGGAAACTCTCCAGAGTTATAATACAAACACTGAGGCCAAGATTTCCAAAAGTAACTAAAGCAATTCAGAATATCCAGTATTTGGAGATGGGTATGAGGATCTGATATTCAGAAAGAGCTGAACTCAAAAACGTGGTACCCACAGTCCCAAGTAGCTTTTGGAAATCTGGAGCAGCATGTTACTGCTCTTTGTCTGTCTGGCTTGCTCATCAAAATTAAAAATGGCACTGTTGTAACTGAATTTATTGGTCATTTTATAGCTCTTCAGAAAAAGCAGGAATTCATGTATTAAAAGCTTTATCTGTAGGATGTGGGTAAAACAAAGGATGCGTATCTTCCAAAGGAGAACAAGCCATTCCTGTGCAGTTAGAACTGTGCCTGGACTTTCCTAATGGCCATGGAGATACTCTGGCAGGGAGCCTTTCAGATTGCAGAAAACTTTGCCTGTGCTCAACTTGCTTGTTACCTGCAATCTAATGATTGATGATACTTAGGATCAAATGAGAGATTGCCCTTTCCCAGCAAAGCATCTCTGTACTTAATCATCCAGAGTTAGACACCAGCATGTAAATTAGCCTCCTCTGCTGACTTTAGTAGAGTTTTTCTGATTGCATCAGCCGAGGATTTAGCCCACTGTGCTGTCTGCATGTGTCCTGCTGGTTGCCACTGGTATTCTAGGATTTGCAGCCTGAAGAGCTCAGTAAAACTGGGAACTGCTGCCCACTGACTTAGTCTATAGAAGGCTGCTGATGCATGCTTGAGTGCATCCTGCCCAGAAGATACTGTTTTGAAGGTTTTGGCATGCTTCTTTATCCTCTCATAAATCCTTTAATATTAATTTTTGTCTTGCAAAGTGTTTTTTGTCAACTTTGTGTACACATAAGCAAACATGTTACAACGGAAAGAGTTTGGAATGAAATAGTACTAGAAGATGAGTAAAAGCTGACTCTGGGGATGGCTCTGCAGATTTTCCCTCTCACAGCAAGCTGAAGTTCTGGGGTGGCTCTCAGGGCATGGTCACACTGCCCAAAGGAGGAGAATCGAATTGCCTCAGAATTGCCTCTGCTTTCGCCTTTGCCAGAGCTGGAAGGGCTACGGCTGCATCGGCACAGCACGAGTGAGTTGTCCCTGCTGAGTGTCTGGCTGAGTGTCCTTAGCTGGGACAGACACCGTGCTTACGCCGTTAGACCGCCGTGGGACGTTAGGAAGTGCATTGACACTTGTCCTTGGGTGGACATAGTGGTTTTGGCTGAGGGTAGCTCAGGGGTCTCCGCGCTGCAATTCACTGTCTGGTATAGGCATGTTCCTAGCATACAGATAAGCCCTCTTTAACTGCAGCTGTCTAAAAGTTAGATATCTAGGGAGTGATTCAGACACTGAAATGTTGTAAATCAGTGCAGCTTTAGACCTCTGAGGGTAGCTTGGCTGGCCTCTAGCTAGTGCTCCCCAAAGATCCAGACCCATTGCAGGTGTCCCGAGTACCTGGCCATGTCCTCTTCTGAGAGACCATGTCAGGGTGGAAGCTGGGATGAACAGTCTTTCATGGACAGCACATTCTGAGGAGCATCTGTCCCTGTTTCCAGACAAACCACTCTTAAAATTGCCATGACAGAAAGCAGTAGAAGGGCGAAGTCTGCCATTTGTGGAACAAGAGGAAAACATTTTTCTGTGGCAATGTCATTATCTTGAACTTTTGCAGAAAAGAAAAAAAAAAAGGTTTATCTCTAACTGTCTATCAAGAGAACTGTATCTGATGAGAAGTTTCCAGAACATTTTCTGTTCTAACACAGCTGAGGCTACACAGACCCAAACAATGAAAAGAGAAAGATTCAGAGATGAGCTTGCCTCTCTCCTTCCTGTTAGCTCAGGCCATTATGGGAGGCATGAGACAGTGAGGTCAGGAAATTCCTGACTTCTCTCAATTTGCATCAGATCCTTAGCTGTATCTTGGGGCCATTCATGCCTTGCGTGAGTTATTCCTGTCTAGCATACAGGAAACAGTTTCCTAATGATCTCTTCATTCAAAGGTGAGGCTCATTCCCTTGGTCAGATCTGGTGTGGTTTAACCCTTGTGCCCTCTAATTCCCTGATAGCTACTCCAGGGACATCCGTGGGGTTACCCAGAACTTCTGCACTGCCTGTCTTGAACATGAAGTTCATAGTGCACGTGGTAGCAGCCAGCCCCTCTAGAGAAATCTTCATAAGTTAAGATTGGCAGATCTCATATCTACAGGAGGACAGAGCTGGGCAATAGCGAGTAGCCAGAAGGAGTGACCATCACTGTTCACCACCTCAGTTGCAGTTCTGTAGCTGTACAGTGCAGCTCTAACGTTATAAGGAGAAGTCTTCTTGCTTTGGGAAGCATATTGGAAGATTGGGTTGTGGTCCTGCAAACCAAATGGCTAGCACATATTTCACAGTCTGCCTGAGGTCCCTGATGAAGGCTTTTAAGGAGAGAGATTGGTTTTCATCAGTTATTTTTTGATTTTTTTTAATTCTTTGTAAAAATCTGTTCTTTAGTACTTTAATCACTGCGTGAAACACAGTGAAATAGGGAGCAGGTCTGTAAGACTTCCAGTTTGCTGAAAAGGAAATTACGTTGAATGTGAGTGATTTTAACAGTGAGCTATGGAAAAGGAAGACGTCTATTCGCAGTCAGTGATGTCTTGGCATGGCTTCCTGGGGGACACAGACGTGGCAAGTTTCCACAGGAGCACCACAGTGAGCGTCTTTCATTCTTCCACCTGCGTAAATTGGCTTTCACACTAACCAGCATGATTCTGCTCTACTTGGGTAGATGAAAATGAGGATTAATTCCACTGATGTCAGTGCAATAGCTTTTCTGGAAATTGATACAAGATCAGTGCTGACCGCTGCGTTGTAGCTTTTAACCTCTGTGCCATCTGCGCAGAACCGCAGCATTGCTGAGGTGGCAAGGGACCACCAGAGATGGTTCAGTCCAACCCACAAGCTCAGGTCAGGGTAGACGAGAGCAGGTTGCTGAGGATCGTGTCCTGTCAGGTTCACAGCCTCCCTGGGTAACCTGTTCCAATATTTGATCACCTTTAGAGTCAAAAGTTTTTTTCTTACATTTAAACAGATGTCTTTTATTTCAGTTTGTGCCCGTTTCCTCTTGCCCTTTTGCTGGACGCCACTGAGAAGAGCCTTGGTTTTGTTGTGTTTTGTGAGCTTGGAGCTGCAATCTCTCAGTGAGCAGATAAGAATTATTGCCCTTCAGCCAGAAAAAAAATGTTTGTGAGGGATGCCTGAGGTTTGGGGGACTGCACTGAAGAGCCACTGGCTTGATTTTTGAAAGTGGCAGGCATTTGCTCTGCTGTTAAGTCACGGTTAGCTGCAGCTGAAATCACAGGATGCATCGTGCCCTGGTTCTCTCTCTGATTAAAGTTTCTTGATGATGATAAACATCTCCCGCAGATACTGTTTGCTACCATGACAGCCGAGGATCCGTTTGCCGTATTTCAGAGATCACAGATCACAGAATGGCTGAGGTTGGAAGGGACCTCTAGAGATCGTGCAGTCCAACCCCTGCTCCAGCAGGGACACCCAGAGCAGGGGCACAGGGTGGCATCCAGGCGGGTTTGAAGATCTCCAGAGAAGGAGCCTCCACAGCCTCTCTGGGCAGCCTGTGCCAGGGCTCTGTCGCCCTCACAGCAGAGTTGTTCTCCCTCACATGGAGAGGGAACTGCCTGGGTTTCAACTTGTACCCATTACCCCTTGTCCTGTCACTGGCCACCAGTGAGAAGAGTTTGGCCCCATCCTCCTTCTACAATCTCCCCTCAGGTACTTATATACAGTGATGAGATCTCCTCTCAGTCTTCTCTTCTCCAGACTAAACAGGCCCCACTTGCTTAGCCTTTCCTCATACGAGAGATGCTCCAGTCCCTTCATCATCTTTGTCGCCCTGCGCTGGACCTTCTCTAGAAGCTCCACGTCCCTCTTGTCCTGGGGAGCCCAGAACTTTGCAAGTCCACAGTTTCGCAAGTCAAATCTTTTATTCTTTCTGTCCTTATTCCTGGACTGGACTTCTTTGACATTAATGTGCTTGCAAACGTGTCGGGATAGTTACAAGACACATCACCAAGCTAAAAACTCCAGGTCCCCAACAAAGGGAACTCTGCTGAGGGCATAAAATTTGCAAAGTGCCAAAGCTCAGCATGGGGCAGGCCGTGGACAAAAAGGGGACACAGTCAAATGCTCTTAGACTATTTTAGCTTTTCTGCATAGGATGGGAAGCAAAACACATGTCAGAAGAGCTGTAAACTTGCTTCAATTTATGCTGGGAATTTTTGGCTGGAATACGTGGGGACACGGGATAGAAAGCTGCAGAGCACAAAACTAGGTCTTGATTTTGCCTATCTAAGAATAGCAGTATAGCTATGGTCTGCTCATTCTATTTCATCCACCAGTCTGCCTTGGGAAGGCTTTAATCTAAGTCTAATCTATTTTTAGCCTGATATCTTCTCCAGACAATGTGCAGCTGTCCTGTTAGTTTTATGCCAGAAATTAGTAACACTTGTATGATTCACAAGTTAGCTGTAATCTCACTAAAAATTTCTATAGCAAAAATTACATTTTTTACACGTAGCACAATAGCATAAAACCCGTGAGTTTCAAAGTCGCTGTGTGTTCGTGGTATGGCCTAGATCCAGGAGAAGGCCGTGGACTGAGGGCTGCAAGGTAGGAGATCTGTTTCTGGCTTTGCTACTCGATCTGAACTTGTCCTCCCATCCCGTTGCCAGTATTGGCCCTTTACACGGAAAGCTTGGGAGGACCTGAGCTTGGTCCTGCATACTTTCATCTGGCTCGACGAGGCCTCCACGAAGCCGAGGGCCTGTAGTGGTTGTGTAAGACAAAAAAAAAAAAACCCAAAAAACAACATTCATGGAGCCCAAGCTGTCCCATCGGTTACTGTACAGCAGGCATCCCAGTACATGTGAATAATTACAACTAATCAACTTCTAGAGGCTTTGGTTTGTGTGTTTAATCAAGGGGAGGGATTTCCTGCTTTATACCACATTGTTTAAGAGGTTTACTTTCTGGTTAAAGGCAAATAAACAGCCATAGGATCTGACACAATCCCATTTAGAGCCACAGTTCTGGGGAAGAAACTTGAGTGTGTGGTTAAGGATGGGACGTGGAGGTTGCACTTGGGGTCTGTTCCTGGCTCTGAATCTCTGTGTGAATTTGCATTAACTTGCAGTTGGCAGAAGCAGGACAGGACACGTTGACTCCAGTGAAATACCTGCTGGTTTTGACGTTTAACAACATCTCTTCAATATACAAATCATGCTTGTCTAGATCACTTGGTGACAGATTTTATGCAGCAGAGCCAACTACCTGGCAAAGACAAGAGAAAGAAAAAAAAATTACTTTTTACTTGTTTTTGACTTCACCAGATAGCTGTGCTGCATGAGGTCTGTTCCGCAGTAGAGGTAATAAAAGCACTAGCTCCAGCCATGCAGCATAGACCAAAATGGGAAGGAGGGTCTTGCTGGGGTGACGGGGCCCCGAGCGCGGGGTCGCTGTGTTGCTCTCTGGTGTGGCCACCCGGCCAGTGCACAGGACTTGCAGCTGTGTCAGCCTGGAGCGTGTTTGGATGCAGCGTTTCTCCCCTCTGCGCCCTTGACTTCAGAAGGGGAAGCAGATGCCAAGGAGAGGAAAGCAAATAACTGCCTAAAACGCCAGTTACAGCAGCTGGATATCAGGTCAGGAGCTGCAGCACAGAGATGCACTCATCACGCTTTCCTCAAGCAAATATGGCTGGGGCAGCACTGGAGGATTTGTCACTTTGAATTTGCAACATGAAGCAGAACCTGCCTGTTTCCCTCTGGCACATTCTGTTTTCCTCTGTTTTTATTGAAAGGAAGTTGTACTTTCTGTGTTAGCCAATATTGTGTT